ATGCATATACATGTACTTGTTCAGTGTAGAGAGATTGAGCAGATTTCGATCAAGTTTGGATTTTTTATGATTTTTTGAAGTTGCTCAAATGTTAGACAAAAGTCCCTGTACTGTAGTACAGAGTTTTTGTAAAATTTCACAAAAATTGACAAGTAGAAAATTCATCAATTTTATTACATTTCTTGATGCATATACATGTACTTATGCTGTATAGAAAGATTGAGCTGAATCTGATCAAGTTGGAATTTTCTATGATTTTTTTAATTTGCTCAAAAATCGGACAAAAGTCCCTGTACTATTATAGTGCAGGGATTTTTGTAAAATTTCAAAAAACTGACAAGTAGAAAATTTCTCAATTTTATTACATTTCCTAATGCATATACATGTATCTTATGCTGTGTAGAGATATTGAGCTGATTCCGATCAAGTTTGGATTTTCTATGATTTTTTAAAGTTGCACAAAAAATCGGACAAAAGTCCCTGTACTATAATAGTACAGGGATTTTTTGTAAAATTTCAAAATAATTGACAAGTAGAAAATTCCTCAATTTTATTACATTTTCTGATGCATATACATGTACTTATGCAGTGTAGAGAGATTGAGCAGATTCGGATCAAGTTTGGATTTTGTATGATTTTTAAAGTTGCTTCAAAATCAGACAAAAGTCCCTGTACTATAGTACAGTCATTTTTCAAAAATTTCACAAAAATGACAAGTTGAAAATTCCTCAATTTTATTACATTTCCTGATACATATGTACTTACGCAGTGTAGAGATATTGAGCTGATTCCGATCAAGTTTGGATTTTCTACGATTTTGTAAAATTGCTCCAAAATTGGACAAAAGTCCCTGTATTATAGAACAGGGATTTTGTGTATGATCAGCCACAAATTTTAACTAGCCATTTACCTAATTCTGTTACTGTATCAATAATTGCTCCTATAGTATCACGTCACAGAACATGGTAGAATATCAGGAGAAGATAAGATGTTGAGTGAGATCTATGCATGAGGCCCCATTGCCTGTACTATTGCAGTGACTTCAGCCTTTGAACAATACACTGGAGGAGTCTTTAATGACACTACTGGAGCTAAAGTACAACTAATAATGTACTTAATGTATTACCTATTGCCTGTCTATCTATTGTATAGTCACTGGATCATGAGGTATCCATTGCTGGTTGGGGAGTTACTAGTGGAGGAGTTAAATACTGGATTGGACGCAACTCATGTATGTGCATTATCATAATATACACCTACCACTATGTACTATTGAAAGGAAAGCTTCTGTTGTTTTTTTGATTTAAAAAATTAATGATTACATGGTGCTAAAATCACATTTATTTTCATTTATAATTCATAATAGTTAACAATATAATCATACATTATCTCTCTCTCTGTTACTGTAGGGGGTACCTTTTGGGGTGAAGCTGGCTGTTTTAGGTTGATAAGAGGAGTTGATAATCTTAAGGTTGAGTCCAACTGTGACTGGGCTGTCCCTGCTGCTATTCACTAACTACTGAACTCCTAGAGCTGCTTACCATTG